CCTCAAACGATTGCCAGAATACACATACTGTACTGTACTGTGATAAGAAATGACAACTTCATGTATTTTCCGTCCAACATCTTTCCTCTTTTTTTTATTATTATTTTTTTTAAATAAATGTATATTGGTTAATAAGATTGAAGTTTTTATATATGATTTTATGTTGTAAACAGTTGTAAATATTGTTTATGTGTTTGTTGGCTTATATAATAAATATTAGTTATAAAACAATTGACCTTGTATTTTTAATAAAAATTACAAAATTTTTACTGTCTTACTTCTTTTTTTTTATACAGTTGTATACTTGTGGCTGTTTATTTCCTGCTATTAAATATTCAAATAAGAAGTGGAAGCAGGAAGTTAGAGAGCACATTCAGAACATATGATCTGTGGACTAAATATGGCCAACCTGACATAAAAGAGGATCCAGCTAATTTACTGATGGTCTTCTCACATCTGCATGTGCCATTCAATGGATTTTAAAATCTCCGCTTCGAGGTTTACTTGCTAGACCCCTGCAGGGATGGCACGCGTTGAGTGAGGGATCGAGACCATCAGTGAATTAGTCGGCTCTGCTTTAATGTAGGTCGGCCAACTTTGATCCAAAGATCTGTTAGTCCGCAGATCAACGTGTTCTGGGTGCCCTCTTAGGTTGAATTAAGGTATTTTAAATAGATTATAATAACTGGTTAAGGTTTAAAAAAATGTTTGTTTTTTTTCCTATGGTAAAGGAAGTTTCCCAAATATATCAATGGTACATGTAATTTTATTCATTCCAACATTCAAATTAGGTCAATGTTTTTTCTAAAAAGTTTATTTTTAGTAAAAATCTCTTAAGAGATTCTTGCAAAGGTAAGACTATCAACATGTATAAAGGTCCACATGGCCTGATGGCAAGCACAGATTCCAGAATAATTGTCATTGCTGCTGTTTGGTGGTAAAATTGTATTTATTATATTTCTAGGAGTTGTTTACACTTTATGTATTGTGAAATATGAATTCACTAGGAGCATTTGTTATCCCTTCAAATGTTAATGTAACAACCATATTCCTATTAAGTTCTGTTGTTGCACTGACACCACATGATAATAATAGATAAATGGGCATTGTGTTGGCTTTTGAATGCTTATTTTGGAAATTAGACCCTTCTTTGCCTATGTAATCAGTCTTCTTTTAGATGGATTGAATATCTTACATGTACACAAGCAAGAATCCAAAACAACCTACCAGTCAACTTAAACAACTTAAAAAGACAACAATTGACCATTTAATAATGTTCTTTATAACAATTTAGTGTAAGAATGCTGGACAAATTGGCAAAGCTACAGTGATTATAGTCACATAAGTTAACTAGATTATGAAACATAATTTGAAAGCAATTACAGCTAGATATAACAACGTATATTACTATATAATTATGTATCAAATAACACCTCCACAAGGAAAGTCTGGTTTATTTTATAAATACTTGTATACATGTAGCTGGGCAAGAATGGCACATGTATGTAAAGTGAGCCATGCATGCCCCCCCCCCCTTTTTGCACACTAAACACAATGGCAAAGTTTCAATGAATAGAGTTACTTTTAACTATACTCTGATTAACCAAATAAAATTAGAAAAGAGACAAATACCAATAAAGGAACATCAAATGCAAAATATGTTACATAAAAAAGAATAAAGGCCCTATCAATACAATGAAGAAAGCAAACGCCAGAAACAACCAAAAATAAATAAATAATTAATAAGCAGAACTGCAATGCATTTTGTAACACCTGTTGCTTCTTGCATTTGCCTTTACATAAAGCACTGGAAATTATCTCAAAGGATTAGATGGCTTAATTTAGGAAAATGAAGCTTAAAACTGAAAGTTTCATATCCAAGAAAAAAGAGAAATAGCTGTGATCAAGACCCAAGAGCTACTACAGACACTGAACAAGCAAAGGCACTCTGTAGATCTACAAATGTATAGGAAGTGAAATTTTCCTACAGTATTACTGGAAAATATGGACGTGAGGATTGTCTATTCATTTAAGTATTGCACTGATTTATATAACTTATTGTGGCACAATTCCACCATTTTTAGTTGCAAATAAACATTTAATATTATAAGAATTGTATGTTCCAACAGATTCTAACATTAAACAAAAAAGTCCAGTTCAAATTTCTCAATGTGGAAAAATGTGAAGGAGCAACAAGAGACAGTTTTAGTTTCTATTAGTTCCGAATTTATTTGTGAACGGACTACAGTTGCCTTTTGACCGTCCTTGACCATTTGTGCTGGTCTCTGAAAATAACCCTGACTGTGTTTGTCTATCAGAAATGTCTATCTTACATGGCATGACATTTTGCGCGAGGAGGTAGAAGACGAGTTTTCATTTTCATCAGACATGGTTATTTTATGAAAAGGTATCGTCTTTCTCACAAAGTTCTTTATTTACTCACAAAGAAAATTGTTTTATTGACAAATATCTTCTTTCCTCCCAGTTTTATGTCATCCAAGTTATATTACATGTGAGATTATTATTAAGGAACGTTTGTTTTGTCGTACGTACAACTATATCAGATGCACCACTAATTGAATGTCTCTTGTTGAATCATCATTGCAGGGCGACTTCCTTTCCAAAAATTGTGTCCATGAAATTTAAGTAATTTTCTCCTTAACGCCAAGTCATATCCAAAATTATTGAGAAAATTAGGATATACGTATACAGTTGTTCATAATAAAATGTAGATTATAAATTAAATTTCAACAGTCACGAGTGACATCCACCTGTCTCTTTCTCCATGACGACAGAGACTAAATAAACGGAAAATCGATTGGTTTAATTGCTCGTAATTGTGCGATTAAATGCTCTCAAAAAGAGTTACTCAAATCAAAAATTTTCCTAAGACAATTTTATTGACTTTACGCAGATAGATTTGTTACTTTCGAACTTCTGATTTAATTTTGTATTTATTTATTTACTTTTCCGTTCTTAATCATCATCATTGTATTATTATTATTATTATTAGTGTTGTTGATGTACCTTTAACATTCCTCTTAATCTTTTCCTGTTTTTCATTCCAGACATATCTAATGATGTAATTCGGGGGATTAGTGATACTGTCTATTTTCCTAACATTTGATACCATTTTCCTTTATTAACAGCAAATGTATAAAGATCTTAAATATTCTTTTGTCACGAACCAATTATCTGTCATCATTAGCAAACTGAAGAACCTATTTCACCAACTAAAGTTGCATGTAATATCTTAAATGACAAATGGTAATTCCACCATTTAAGAGCCTTTTCTGGACAAATTTTACTTAACAAATGTTTCCCCTCCGACTCGGCCGCAAATATTTCGCTCTGCTAATATTGATCTTTGAGCTAGAGGGTTTGAAATTGAAGCAGCCACCTGCCAACTCGAAGGCTTAGCAAACGCAACATAATATTATATTTACGTGTAGGAAATGAAAATTAAAGCCTCGAACGTTACGTTAGTTCGATTGCTGCATGAAGTGAAGACGTCAAAACACAATTACACATAATTTAATATTATTTCAAGTTGATGATAATCAAGAGATTGTTTGAATTTATAGCACTATCACAATTACAAATACTGATACTTGAAGAGCTTTAAAACCAGTAAAATATAAAATACTATTCAGTAAGAGAAGCACACGTGTATTTATGGGCTAATATTATAACTGATAGACACATTGGTGAGTATAGTGCTCATG